CAGTAAAGAGTTGGACTTGTGATGTTCAGTAGTATCATATTGAACGTACTAAGTACCAGTAAATGAGTCGGATGTGTACTGTTCAGTAGTGTCATATTGAACGTACTAAGTACCAGTAAAGAGTTGGACTTGTGATGTTCAGTAGTATCATATTGAACGTACTAAGTACCAGTAAATGAGTCAGATGTGTACTGTTCAGTAGTGTCATATTGAACGTACTAAGTACCAGTAAGTGAGTCAGATGTGTACTGTTCAGTAGTATCATATTGAACGTACTAAGTACCAGTAAAGAGTTTGACTTGTGATGTTCAGTAGTATCATATTGAATGTACTAAGTACCAGTAAATGAGTTGGACGTGTACTGTTCAGTAGTGTCATGTTAAACGTACTAAGTACCAGTAAATGAGTCAGACATGTCCTGTTCAGTAGTATCATATTGAATTACTCATTTACTGGTACTTAGTACACTGAACAGTACACATCTGAGTATCATATTGAACGTACTAAGTACCAGTAAATGAGTTGGATGTTTACTGTTCAGTAACATCATAGTCTACATTTCGTACAGTAATAAGAACTGCAGTATGAATGTGAAGTGATCAGTATGATTTGTACACAAGACGTTTTGTAACATTATTTAAGATAAGTTTGTGAACGTCACAAGATCACTGATTTTAAAATACTGTCATTAATTAATAAGGAGCTGAGATCAATGAATTACTTTCTCCGTGGTAATACTGAACACCAGAATTTTCATAATAAAGTCTGTGAAATGCGTCCCATCAAAGAGAACGTTTCTTCAATAGTTTGTCAAGAATATTTCTTCAAAATTTATTCTAGTAATCACTTAAATAAAGTCTACCTTAATGTCGAGAGTAAAAACAAAGTATGCTATTAAAATGTGTTTTTTTCTTAATTTTGTTCTTTAGGATGTTAGTAGATGAGAATATTTCTGACGAAGTTGAAGGGTGAGTATTATATACTGAATTTCTTTTGTAATTTGAAAATGTAAAGTATTAAAATTTGAAATTTCTTTTATATCTTCTGCCCTTAAGTTTCATGTATTGATAGATGTTTCTTCCAGGTACAGAGAATTTGTGTAATTTCATCATCAGTTTTAATACTTCTACTTAAACAGAAACAAAACCATTTCAGTTTTGTTAACATTTATAGTATGTTTGGTTTTAGTTTTGTTAACATTTGTCATATGTTTGGTTTCAGTTTTGTTAACTTTTTTCCGTTTGGTTCCTCTTTTTTTTCTATCAAGAAAACTCCATTTCTGCATCTTTGGATCTTCTTGGTTACATGCATGTTAAAACAGAAAAAGGTGCCATGAAACTAAGTATTTAATATTGTTTCTGTTATAAGACATTAACTAAATTTAGTGTGGGGTAAAGTCAGTTTTGTTCATCTTACTGTAACTGCATTCTTTCTTATCACTTGTTTTGATTATGTTTTTGAAACAACGTAACAAAATACATAATTCAGCTTCAGTAAAGTTCGAAGAAAATCTTCATTAACCAGCTAATCACTTTTAATAAGTATAAGAGAAGTAGATTGAATAAAAACTTTTCTGTTGATAAAAAGATCTCCAGAGAAGATGTCCTGTCAGAACTTGAAAGTCCTACTAAATGAAGCTGAAAGTATGAATAGCAATTTGAAGCACCAACTCCAAGAACTATCAGGTAGGAGTCTCTTCATTCTAAGGACTTACAGAATTGAGTAAAAAAAAAGACAATTGTACATTTCACAAATACATAATTTATTACGACCATCGTTTCACCAGTAAAGGTATCGTGTACTAGTGGTAAATCAGCACATGTTAATCTAAACACTATAATGTTAAATGATCTGCATGTGAAATAGTTGTTGTAATGTGGGGAAGAATTATAATTTTTATGTTGTTTATTTGAATTGTTCCTGTATTCAGATGCTAAATTGAGTCTTGATATTGAAGTTGAAGAGAAAAATATGCTGAAGAAACAGATGGCTGTGCTACAGGTAAATAGTTTTATATAAAAACATTCAACTATTTATTCTTTGTAGAATACACACTTGTGATGATTCACCTTCACTTGTTTTTCCAATGTCTTGTTTTTCAGATTTGGATGTGATTTTTGTTTTATATTTGGAATGTTAGATTCAAGAAGCATTTGTACTTTGGAAACTGCACATAGCCCTAAGTATACTGTATTTATTTTTTGTTTGCAGTTTATGTTATCTGGTTTTCTTTTATAGATGATTTCGACAGGGTATTCGTAATGAACAAACAACGGTGAAATGGGCAGCAACTGCCGAGGTTCCAAGCAACTCTTGGAGAAATAATGACCTGTCAAGAGTCTTCCATCTTCAAATTTGACGACAAAAGATGGAAGGCCATTTGAAATGTCATCCTTTCTACAAAAGTTGTTTTTTAGATTATTTCTCCAAGACTTTCGCTACAAGAGTCACTTGGAACTGGGCAGTTGCCAACCATTTCACCGTTGTTTGTTTGTGTTGTTGGATGTCTGTGAATAGTTGTTAATGTTCTTTCAAAAAGGAGGATTAATATCACAAACTGATGTTATGGAGATTAGTTTGATTGTTAAATTTTTATGAGTGTCTTATTCTTACCATTTATTGATAACTGATAATGGTCTGTGTTTATGTTATTTGTTATAAAGTTGTTTTGATGGCTCTTTTCCTGAACTGCTTATTATGCTTGTAATGAAAACAATGAATTCTCTTTCTCAGGCATCACAGAAAGAGGAACTAGAAAGACTGAAAGAAGAACTCTGTAAGGTAAGTGTTGTGTTTTAGTGTGTTTACCATAAAATGACGAGTGTATTTGTAGATGGTGTGTTTACCATAAAATGACGAGTGTATTTGTAGATGGTGTGTTTACCATAAAATGATGACTTTGTATTTGTAGGTGGTGTGTTTACCATAAAATGACGAGTGTATTTGTAGATGGTGTGTTTACCATAAAATGATGACTTTGTATTTGTAGATGGTGTGTTTACCATAAAATGTTGAGTGTATTTGTAGATGGTGTGTTTACCATAAAATGATGAGTGTATTTGTAGATGGTGTGTTTACCATATAATGATGACTTTGTATTTGTAGATGGTGTGTTTACCATAAAATGTTGAGTGTATTTGTAGATGGTGTGTTTACCATATAATGATGACTTTGTATTTGTAGATGGTGTGTTTACCATAAAATGATGACTTTGTATCGTGAGACTGGTCTGTATGCTGAGGTGTCCAGTAAGGTATGTTCTGTTCACAGAACTGAAAACCATATCCAGTTCAATTTTCATACAAGAACATAACTCATATGGCTACATGGAAGTATATAGTGGATAGGAATAAACATTGGTGGATGTATGAACATCCTGCAAAATACTGCACATCACAGGGACTACATCCTTTGTGCTTCCATGTACTGTAGCATTTAACTCTCACTGTAGCCTAGAATATGATAGTACTGTGTTCCAATATGCTAAACTTCGTCAATATATTCATTGAAGAAGAGGGGATTTCAGCTGTTTTAAGCATGTATGGGATGATCTTGGTAGACGTGTCATATCTCTTAAAGTGAGTTCAGACATTTGTGTTCCACTGGTTATACACATTCACTGGTTTATGACCACAGCATTTCTTTGTTCCTTGATTTGGAATGTGGTACTGATGTGTGATGTATGGTTTACTATACCAGAAGGATTTAGAAGGTGGTACTGATGTGTGATATATGGTTTACTGTACCACAAGTATTTGGAAGGTGGTACTGATGTGTGATATATGGTTTACTGTACCACAAGGATTTAGAAGGTGGTACTGATGTATTGATTGATGTGTGGATTATCATACCATAAAGATTTGGAAGGTGATACTAATGTATTGATTGATGTGTGGATTACCATACCCCAAAGATTTGGAATACCCCAAAGATTTGGAAGGTGGTACTGATATGTGGTGTACTGTACCACAAGTATTTGGAAGGTGGTACTGATGTGTTGTGTGATATATGGTTGACTGTACCACAAGGATTTGGTGGTACTGATGTGTTGTGTGATATATGGTTGACTGTACCACAAGGATTTAGAAGGTGGTACTGATGTATTGTTTGATGAGTGGATTACCATACCATAAAGATTTGGAAGGTGATACTAATGTATTGATTGATGTGTGGATTACCATACCATAAAGATTTGGAAGGTGGTACTGATGTGTGATATATGGTTGACTGTACCACAAGGATTTGGAAGATAGTACTGATGTGTTGTTTACTGTACCACAAAGATTTAGGAGATAGGCAACAGTACACAATATTATAAATGTAGCAGTACAGCTTGCATGATGTGTGAAGACATCACTGCCACATTTAACTGAGTGTAGTGTAATTCTATCCAGTAAAGTAACAGGACTTTAATACTTATGTAACAGAAATAATTTATGATGTTTTTCTTTCAGCTGACAGAAAAGTTAAAAAGGAAGCAAGAAAGGTACTTTTTCATTATTTTTCTTAGAGAATAGAAGCATTAAATGTGTACCTTGTGAATTATATTTAAAACATTTCATGGGAAAATTTAAATTTCTGTCAGATTCCAGACAAAGTTCTGCGTGTTTACTGGTGACAAAAACAATAGCTGTGGTTGTTCACAATGATAGCAAAAACAGTAGCTGTGGTTGGTAACAATGTTAACAGAAACAATAGCTATGGTTGTTAACAATGTTAACAGAAACAATAGCTATGGTTGTTAACAATGTTAACAGAAACAATAGCTATGGTTGTTAACAATGTTAACAGAAACAATAGCTATGGTTGTTAACAATGTTAACAGAAACAATAGCTGTGGTTGGTAACAATGATAACAGAAACAATAGCTGTGGTTGTTAACAATGATAGCAGAAACAATAGCTGTGGTTGGTAACAATGTTAACAGAAACAATAGCTGTGGTTGGTAACAATGATAACAGAAACAATAGCTGTGGTTGTTAACAATGATAGCAGAAACAATAGCTGTAGTT